CTGACATATTTTACAGTTCAGATAAACCCACCTGAGAATGCCTATGAAGAACCAGGTAAAGGACTAGAGCTCAGTGAAGCGTAAATCAATAAGGTTATGTTCACTGTAAATACCAGCTGTAACCAGTTCTAGCAGTATCCTATAAGGGGCTTGCGTTTTCTTGATTGAGTATTACTCAGCATTATTTCATATTACCATCTGAAGAAATACCACAATTACCATACGAAGAAAAGTCTGAAACTTCTGTAAACCCGGTGTTAAACTTTAGTTCGGTTTCGCTTACGCAAACATTTACACACAACTTTACTAAATGATTAATAAATGAGGCTCAATATGTCCAATATGTTTTGTGTGTGTATTTGGTCCGTCGACGAAAATAAAAAGCCATAGCTGGGTAGAGCGTTTGCGTGTTGCCATGCCAACGCACAGACTCGCTGACAGCCCACTGAGAGCGTAGTAATTGTTTCAGTTTAATAAATTATTGCTAGAACTGGACTCTCAGGTAACGAAGACAGACAAGCGGAGAGACACACATGGGGCCTAACTGATCAATCTTTTATTAAAGTTGCATGTAAATGTTTTGTGTAAGCCAAACCAAACTAAAATTGACATCTTATAGTCTTGAACGTGAAAAATGAAAACGTGAATTAAATAAATATCATAATTTAAATAATTTAACGAGTTGAATAATTGAGGTAATTTAATGATGAATTACGTCACCTTCCGTGTTGCACCCGGACTTTTATTTTGAAGGCGCGTCAGAGAACTCCAGCCGGAAGTAAACCAGTTTCAGCCAGTTTCAGTTTGCGGTTTTAGCTGGAAAGCGATAAAGAGCCGCCGCTTATCAGATTCATTATTCAGTTACATAACCAACCAGTTAATCGATCAGTAAGACCGGATAATATTTAAAAACATGGACAGAATAAAAGATCGGATTAAGGCGGATAATGACAGAAATCTACAATTTAAAAGGTAAATATGAATTTTAATCCTTCTACAGCACTCTAGCTAATTTAGCTTAGGCTTCACGAGAGGCCTTGTTTACCTGGCTAGCTAACCTGGATATCCTTAATAATAATAATAATAATAATAATAATAATAATAGTAACATTAACAAAATAACGTTAACCATCAATTAATTCTTGGTGGAAATTTTAGTATATGCTGCAAAAGACAAAATATATTATTCCTGTCTGGATCCTGTTCCGAAAACATCACGTCGTTGGGAGTCGTAGCGTCTCGTCGTCATGGTTGGGAGTCGTAGCGTCTCGTCGTCATGGTTGGGAGTCGTCGTTGGGAGTCGCAGCGTCTCGTTGTTAGGAAAAGTATCTCGTTATGAAAAAAGCTGCTCATTATTAGGATTGAAAGTGAATTTTTTACAGCTGGTTATTATAATGTTGAATTTGAAGCCTTGCACACATTCAAACCATCGAATACAGTTTCAGTCTGATGTAATTCTACTGCAAAACTTCCCTTGAAATACAGATTTGTAAATTTTTAATTCGTGATTAATTAGTTTTTAATTGTCCCTGGCAGTCTAGCGGCTAAGGATCCCGATCTCTCGCCACCGCGGCCCGGGTTCGATTCCCGAGCAGAGAACCAACCCAGCCACGGGAGTTACACGAGCCCCTGCGCTCTCAGCGCCAAATCAAACTGTGCCAAATCAAATATACGTGGATTAATGATCCGCTGTGGCGAACCCTAACAGGAGCAGCCGGAAGAAGAAGAAGATTCATTTGTTTTTAATAAACAGGATTTTCTTCTGTTTGTTTTTCAGAAGTTGAAGATGTTTATTGGGGACTTTGAGAGCAGGCTTTCAACATCGGCACCATTCACCTCTGTCTCATCGTCCATATCCGACCCGGCTCCGTCTCAGGTATCCGTTTCAGCCCGGATATTTACTTCCAAGTCTAAAAATAATTATGAAATCTGGGATAAAATGAAAGCTCCTTGAAATCCTTGAGGTTTAAAACGTGGTTATTTTTCCGTGGGTGATGAGGATGATCCATGGCTGGGTTTTATTTTGTTAAACAGGATCTCCTTTAGCCAGATCTTCTCCACAGCCGACTCCAGCAGCGATCACGTCAGGCGTCTCCATGGGTGGGAACGAAGGAGGAGGACGTGGACTGGACCGATGGAGCCTCTTCGGGGCGCGTCCCACCGTGCAGAAATCCCCCACCGACCCCGGCTCCGATCCCAACACCTCGGGTGAGAAAGCGCCAGCTAATGAATCTGTACTCTCAGTTTATTTTATTTTATCTGATCTGATCTTGTGCAGAGTTCGATGTTAAGTGTTGTGGTGATAAGGTTCATGTTTAACCTAAAATGAAACACTTTTGCTTAGGCCACATCCACTTCAGCTTTAAATCTGAGTAGAGATATTTGGAGCACTAGACTGAGTTATAGCCTGATTAGACATGTCTTTTCTTTGTCTTTTCTTTTTTTATTTCTTTTTCATGTAGTAGGTTTTCGGGTTGTCCGTCTGTGCGAGAGTCTCGTTAGCGTGATATCTCAAGAACGAGTGGTTGAATATTTTTAGGATTTGTATGGCGATATCATAGTAACCAGCACATGAACTGAGTAGATTTTGGAATTGATCCAAACAGGTTCAAGGTGACAGCAAGGTCAAACGTCTGAAACATGGACAGACAGATGGTAGTCATGTTGGGTTTTTTTTCTCTCTCTCCTCCCTCTGATCGTCTCTTCACTGCATGTTTGCTCTCAGGAGGTTTCAGTCTGCAGTCATACCTCGGGCTTCAGAAGTCCACGACTCTGGACGGCATCAAGACCCAAGTGAACCTCGCGGTTGAAGACCCCGCCAACTTCAAGTCTCCCAACCTGGAGGTGACTGGAGTGGAGGGAAAAAAGGCGTCTGCCCATAAACTCCATCATCGCGACATGAACATACTCACTCCATCAGGCTTCTGACATCGGCGTCCCCTTTTTTTTTTTTTTTTTTTTTTTTTTTTTTTCCCTTCCCCTTCCCTCCACTCAGGTCATGCACTCACTCTGCAAAAACCTTAACACACACACACACACACACACACACACACACACTGAATACAGGCCAAGTCATTCAGCCAGACATCTGTGAATCCGTATCTTTCTTTGATGCCAAATTTTTTTCAACAGTCGGACATATCTGCAATATTTAACCCGAATTTAAATTTCAGCTTACTGTGATTGTGATTGTGCCGTGTCACATGATAACGGAAGACGTGACATCATAGACTACAGCGTGAACATTTAGATATAATCTGAACAATACATCTGCTGTTTTCTGAATGTACTACATTTTATTGTGCTCCAGACAGACCGTATTAAACAGGGTATTTATTCCACTAGTGCACAAGAAACCTGCTTTAACAGCACGTCTTCCAACATTACGAGGGATCGTTCTGTAAATATTCCCGACATTCTGTTCAAATCGTGCTGCGTTTTTGTTTTTTGGAGGCATTGATTGGTTTTCCATAAAGCATTTTTTTTTCCCCAGCATGCACGTTTGTATTTATATCTATGCAGTCTAGGGTTGTTTCAGCGTCACGGTTTCACGGTTGACTTTTTTTTTTTTTTTTAAAATACAGAAGCACATTTCTGTACATTTGTTTCCTCACTGCAACGCATTTCCTCGCAGCCACTCTGTCATCGGACTGGATTCATTTCACATGGGATAGTGGGCTAGCTGTGCTGCAATCTGTTGTGTTCAGAACACGGAAAAAAAAAACACCTCGGACAGGGAAAATGAGAGTTGAATGACCTTGCACATCACTGAATTCCGAGTCAGGAACTTGTGCAACTCGAGTTTTCTGACATCCCTGAGGTCAAAACAATATGCACACAGTCACGGTCATTTACTGTTTGGTCAAAAACGATTCCATATGTAGCTTTTGTCTTTGTGAAAAGGTGTTTGTTAAGTTGTGGAGTTTAAATTTGTAACATAATTCTGTTTATTCTCTTGTGCAAACAATAACAAGACACTTGACCTGTCTTATACGTCGTTTCTAATCGCTAATCACGCAGAAATCATTTAGATCTTTATCGCATTCCGAGACTAGACATGTAAATCCGACCTCGCTCTGGGCGTCCAAAAAAATCCACTTGCAAATTTCCGAGTAGGACGGATTGCAGCTTTTTTACAGCAAGATTTTACCTCCAGGATTTTAGTTTTATCTGACTCCATCCTGTCAGGAATTCTTTACAGATACATACACCTCGAAAGATCGTGCCATATTTAACCTCCTGTAACTCCAGGTAATATACATTATGTTCATGTGACTTAGTAATAATCAAGAGCAGCTTGCATGGCCACGCCCACTCAAACAAGCACTTATAGTAACAATAAAAAAGGTTGTGTGTGTTGTGTGACAAGCACGCATACATCCTGAAGACACGTACATCTTAATGATTTATCCAGTGATCACGTTTGACATGTGAAATGAATCATAATTCCTAAAAAACGTTTTCCGGATACGTTACTTAACACACACACACGTACAAATCTTATCCTGCAGAAAGAAGACCATGTGTGTGCAAAGAGACGTGTACGAAGAGTTTGTGATTCATTTTGTTCTTTTCAGCCTGTGTCTTTTTAAATGTTTGATAGATACCGTGAAACCGTGATGTTTTTAGACACTCCTAGCACAGACGCCATTTTACCACTGCGATGCGTCGCCGTGACACCAGCACCGGAATCCCTCGTGTTGTTTGGCGTGCTGGACGTGCTGATAAATCAGGTTTATAGCATTCCAGCACTTGTGTCTGCTAATAGTGAGCGTAGCATGAGATTGAGGTGTTTGTGTCCCCTGGTCCCTCTGTCCAGAAGCAATAGCATTTCACAGGATGTGTTTACATATTACATGCTTGAAGTACCACGCTGTTGTTTTGGTTTTAAACACCAACCCATTTTCTCACCAGTTTGTATTTTTTTT